GTAAGCATCGCTGGTTAGTCGGGAGATGTACACTCACGCACTAGCGCGCACAATGCAGCTCCACAGGCTAGGTAGTGTAGCATGAACTTGACGCGCCCAACGTCTGCATCAATTCGTGCTTTTGTTCATCCTTGATCTCTTCGATTCACATTGTGAAAGCGGCATCTGAGTCGTTTCACAGCATAGACATGCTTATTTTGGCTGTTCCAACTTTCAAGCAACACAGCCGGGAGGTTTGCTTTGTGATATTCGAGATTGAACTGCAAATAAGCGAAGTGAAACAGACCGTCCGAGGTACAATAAGTTTGTTCCACGCCCACTTTCGTCGGTTGTGACACTGGTTGAGTACTTGCTAGTCTGCCCATCGAATGAAGCAAGCGATTCTTAAGAAGTTACAACCCAGGGCACGAGATTGATTTGGACAGCTCAGTGGTCTCAAGCTTGGAGATGGCAAGTCGTCGGCGTTGCTCCGCGAACTTCAGCGCATCGCTGGTCCCTTTTTCTTGAGCGAAAAAGAGATAAAGGAGCTGTTATTTGCACGTCTCCCAGAGTAATTGCCTGCAAGCTTGTCTATGTTTCTGGATATGCCACTGAAAGAATTAGCTACCAAAACAAACCTTGCGTGCTAACCACTTCCGCAGCAGAGGAACACTAGCTCTGGTGACGTATTCTCACCAATGAAAACTAAAGCTCGTGTTTGCTCTCAGTCGTCAGGCCGAGCTGACCCTAAAGACGAGGAAATTGCGCTACTTTGCAGCAGGATAGTAGCAATGAAGACTTCGAAGCAGTGTGTACCACGGTCAGATGCTGACCACGTTTTGGCTACCGTTCATTCCGTCTCCTTTGTGCCTACACCGAGTACGTCTCTTTCGACACGAAAGTGCAACATTTCCCTGCACGTTCTCAGTCAGGTAATACCAAACCCATCGAAGAAGTATGTGGGTACCACCGCCAGTATGGTGAGAGAGCTAAACGTTGTCGGGCTCACTGCATTAGGCACGACTTAGCCGCTTCAAGGAAAGCGAATATCCCGCATACTAGCACGATCAACGTATCCGTCAATAACTAAGCAAATCGCTGGCTGTACGTTAAGGATCGATGTCCTTCCATCATATTCCTCATCGACACGACAGTGGACGTCAGCGTCATCCAAGCGAACGCAAACGACAAGCGCTCAATGCCTACGTGCAACCTGTGTGCGGCCAACGGTTCTCCGATAGCTTCTTTCGGTCAGTGCATGATGTACCTGGGCCTAAATTTTCGCCGCGCTTTTCAGTGGGTTATCATGGTTGCGTCTGTATCGTTCGCAATTATCGGTATCGAGTTCCTCTGACATTTTGGGTTGTTTGTTGATGCTCGTCGCCTTAGAATTTTAGACGAGCGTACTAGACTATAGATCGTAGGGGCTCTTACGGAGGCCCCGATAATCAGGCCCGCTTTTCTAATCGCCGATGTACTATCAGATTATGCTAACCTACTCTCTGAATACCCGCGACTGGTACAACCAACTGCAGTGCTTCGGCCAGTCAAGACAGTGGTCGCTCACCACATAGCCACACGCGGTCAACCAGTTAGCGCGCGACCAAGACGACTTGCTCCAGACAAACTACGTGCAGCACGAGCTGAATTCGACCACATGTTTCAGCTCGGTATCGTCATACTGTCCAACATCCCATGGGCGTCGCCTCTCCACATGGTATCGGAAAAGGTGATGGGGGACTGGCGTCCTTGCGGCGACTATCGAACCTTGAATACGGTTACCACGCGCGATCGCTATCCGATGCCACACATGGTGGATCACACCGCCAGTCTGGCGGGTAGAAATATATTCAGCAAAATCAACTTGGCACGTGCAAACAACCAAATGCTGTTAGCCGAAGCGGACATAGCTAAAACTGCCGTGTCAACCACATTTGGTTTGTTCGAATTCCTGCGCAACCCATTTGGTCTAAAGAATGCCGCGCAAACTTTTCAGTGATTCATCGACCAAGTTTGTCGCTGCTTAGACTTCGCTTACGCTTATCTCGACGACGTTTTAATCGCGAGCTGTTCACGAGAAGAGCACATTTTTTGATCGTTTATCTCGACACGGGGTGACGATCAAAGCAGAAAATTGCTCGTTTGGTGTCGACTCAGTCAGCTTCTTCGGCTACCGTATCTCCTCTGCAGAAGTATTTTCACTGTAGGGTAAAATTCAATCCATCATCGAGTACCTAGTGTCGCATTCTTTCAAACAGCTTAGGCGTTTTGATGGGCCTGTCAACTTATACCGACGGTTCGTACCAAAATATGCGTCCCTGATGCAAACCCCTCACGGGCCTTCTCCGAGGGAAACTTAAGAAATCCCAATTTCCTTTTTGCAGCACACGCTGCTTTTACGTCGCTGAAAGAGGCTGTCGCCAGCATGGCTTCTATAGCACATCACGATCCGGCCGCCACACTGTCCCTCAGTACTGACGCCTAGGACGTGACAGTCGAAGCTGTTTTGCAGCAACGAGTAGCCGACATGTGGAAGCCCTTAGGACCTTTCTCCAAACGCCTACAACCTACCGAAGCTCACAATAGCACGATCGGTAGAGAACTACTAGCCATATATCTAGCGATACTTCACTTTCGACACGTCTTAGAAGGCCGCTCCTTTGCCGTCTTCACGGACCAAAAACCCTGACTTACGTGCTCGGCTCGACTACCGACCTATACTCTCCTAGAGAGTCGCGCCACCTTGACTATATCGCTCAGTTTACAGTGTGCCCAACGCCATCGCCGATGCACTTTCCCGAATCCCAGCTCTCTCCGCTGACGCCGGCACTGCTATCGACTTGGCAGCCATGGCCACAGCGCAACTCAACGATCCTGAGTTTGATCTACTACGCAGGTCTCCCTCACTGGACATACGACCTGTTCCGCTGACATCATCAGACGGAACTATACTTTGCGATTTATCTCTGGGCACGCCGCGCCCAGTCGTCCCACGCGAGTTTCGGCAGACCGTGTTCGACACGTTGCACGGCTTGTCTCATCCAGGCGTTCGTGCATCGGTTAAACTCGTAACCGCACGATTCGTTTGGCGTAATGTCAATCGGGACGTCCGTACTTGGGCAGCTGCTTGCCTTCCGTGTCAACGCGCGAAGGTGCACAAGCACACGAGAAGCACATTAGGCACGTTTCCGACGCCAGACGCACGTTTTCATCACGTGCACGTCGATCTGGTATGTCCTCTGGCACCTTCGAAAGGCTCTGTGTATCTACTGACTATATCGATCGATTTACTAGATGGCCTGTGGCTGTCCCTATCCCAAATTGCTCTTCGGAAACGGTAGCGAAAGCTTTTCTGGAGCGCTGGGTAGCTCAATACGGCTGTCCCGTCATCGTGACCACCGATCGAGGGTCACATTTCTCATCGACATTTGCCACGTTGCTTAAGGATTTAGGCTGTCGCCACGTTCAGACGACGGCGTATCATTCGGCCGCTAACCTCATGGTGGAGCGGTTTCACCGACAATTGAAGGTTGCGCTACTTGCGCACGCAGATCCTTCATGGGCTTAAACACTTCCTCTCGTCATCCTAGGCTTAAGAAACACGGTGAAAACCGATTTGGACGCAACACCAGCGCAGCTAGTCTACGGTTGCACGTTGCGGTTGCCCGGACAGCTGGTATCACCAACGCCGTCTACTTCCTCTTTTGACTACAGAAGTTACACCGATCGATTGGCTCACCAGATACGTGAGCTACGTCCACCCGCTCCTCGATCGCAGAAGACACCAGTGTACGTGCCCGAGAAGCTGTCTACGTGTTCACACGTCCTTCGCGCAGACGGTGTTCGACAGCCTCTTCAGTCGCCGTACATAGGACCTTTCAAAGTGCTACACCGCGCGAATAAGGAGTACAATATTGACCGCGGTGGCCGACGCGAAGTCGTCACCATCGACCGTCTGAAGCCTGCGTTTATGGAAGAAACCACCTCGCTACTTCGTCTCGTAGTGATTCGTGCGACGTCACAACTCACCGCACCAGCATTCAGAATCCTAGTGCATTTCAACCTGACCACGATCTCGGTCTACAAGCTTCAGCCGTCCCGACATCTGAATCTAGCCCGCCGCCTCCCACGAACAATCGCCGTGGTCGGGAGGTGCGTAAGCCGGTTCGTTTCTCCGACTATGTACAGTGTAAATACGTTTAGGTCTGTAGATATTTTATATACTGGCCCCGTATTTTGGTCGATTAACGTTTTGAAAACAAAAAGAACAAAAACCTCCGAAAAACTCTTTTTTTTAATATTCAAAATCCAAGATATCCTAACACGCAGATCATTCGTTCGTTCCTTTTGGGGTATTTTGCACGTGTTTTTCTATTATCTCCTTTACACGCCCCAACCCTCCTTCGATCGACTGGCTCGCACGAGCAATGTTTCCGAGGACCCTGATGCGAGTGCTGGTCGTTTCTCCGCGTGATGGGTGTCGCTTCTTCGCGGGACGAGGGTCGCTTCTTCGTGGGACGATGGTCGTTTCTCCGTGGGACGGGGTGCGGCGGCGGGACAGACCACTCCCAAGCGCACCGTTTGGCAGCAGCGGAGGTTGAGTTCCTTTCGGCCTTTTTCTGGGTTAGCCAGCTTTTTTGTTGTCCGACAAGCCCGCTCCAAATGGCTCGCCGAAATGCACCCTGCCCTGCAATCAGTAAATAATAAATCACAAACGGCACAGCGGACTCCGACTTCCGGCGAACCCCCATTTGACACGAATGCTTGCTCATTCTTAGTCGACAGGATTTTGCCCTACGAACCTCGATTCACCTGTCATTTTCGATTTCGAAGGCTTTCTATGTTCAGCCTTCTAGGGGGAGCTCTGTAGCGTCCAAAATGATAACCGCTATATTTTATGTTCTGTTTAATTGTTGACCAATTGTACATTATTCTTTCTAATTGTAATCTTCTTAACATTCAGTTCGACAAGACCGCCTTTTAAGTGCCCGCGCTAACGTGTACCTCCTGTCTTGCTTCATCCATCCGCGTCTCCTTGTTGCCCATTAAATACACTCTGCTGTGTCCGACTCAAATTGCCTTCGATATCCGCGCATATTTCCGCGCACCGTTTCGGACTAGTATTCACTAGTCTTACAAAGCCCTCTAATTCAACAGCGTATGATGATTGTCTGACCGGATTAATCGTTGAATGGGAAAGAGGTTACTCCGGTTCCGATTTCTTAAAAGAGCGCGGAAATGAAGCACCGTAGTTATGATACGTCGAATCACCAGTGTATGATTAAATGTCATTTGCCGCAACGTTAAGCAATGTGTCGGCGATCAAAGGACATTGGACACCGTCAGTAAATGATACAATGACATAACACTGCGATGTCTGGAGGCGCTACAAATGTCCTCACCGCATCTACACTTATCATAACTGGCTTCATCATCCGTTTAACATCGCTACCTTCTAAGGAAGGGCTAGCATAGGACAAGTCGCTGGCAGCCGCAGACACATGCTGTAATGAGTCTGGGGCGGCGACACTATTCAAGCTCAAGAGGCAAGCTGCAGTCTCTACTTCTGGCACAGAGGACATTCAATTCAAATTGTCACCATGCTTTTGAGCGCCAGCCCGAAGAGGTGTGAAGCTGTGAGCAGGGACAAGCTTACTTGAACTTGAATATGATAAGTTTTACTGGAATTGCGCTGCTGCTTATTTTGTTCCGACACCTCGAACCGGGCACTTGTACCATGCGTGGGATCAACGAAACAGCCACCGCTATTTAAACTCTTCCCTGTTTTCTACCGGTTGCAATGGCCTATGGTATGATCTTTTTCCAGCTCTAACAGTAACTTATAAACCTGTATTTCATTCGCAGCACGGAGTTGCTTTGTCTCCTTTTCTACCACTAACATAGATAGTAACTGCTATCTTTTCTATTCGACAATTTTATACGCGAGAAATTCATCTTGCTGACTAGGGACATCAACCTTCTAACGTGTGAACCACAGCATGAAACATTGACATCAGGAAAACTGCGAGTGATTTACCGGGATACACTAATGCCTACGGATCTTTCATGTCGATTGTTCTGGTAAGACATGAACTAACAATAATAACCATTAAAACTTGAGCCTTGCAATTCAAATATCAAAGTTCACGCTAAAAAGAAGAAAATGCTTGAGCAGTTGACCTCACAAGATTGTTATGACTAGCCGTTATTGAGCACGGCACTCAACTCTGCCTTCCAAAGCGAGGAAACCTATATTGAGCGCTCTCCCTGTGTATGACTCTCAAGACATCACTCCAAAACGAGGAAGCTATACTGAGTACTGTAAGAGACAAACCGCTTGGAAATCTTGTGTGAACGCGTCTCCACTGGTTTCAACAATTAATAAGGCCGGAACTGGAATTTAATACCACAAATATAAAATACTTCAATAAGCTGTACTGCCGGCACGGAGGTTTTAACTACTGCAATGATCAACATATAGAACAAACTTGTCTGCAAGACACACATGGTGGGTCAACGCATCTCGTGCATTGTGGCGTAAAAACGGGCTTACATTATCAATCAGAAAGAAGAGAAACTATCTTGAGCTATGGGTGTGGGAATCGGTTCATTACGCACAGTGATGACATAGTACAAACAAAAATGTTAATGATTGTACATTCTCATTGAAACACGTAGCACACCAAAGAATATATGTTCAATTTTGTACACACAGATATGCGACCATTTCTGTTTGATCAAACATTGTTCTTGTCAATGTAAGTGGGTAGATTGTAGTGTACCGGAAAACACGCCCTTTCTGTAGTTTGTAACATTGGATTTTATCGTTGTTATTCCTCCAAAACGTCCACTTGATTACTAACGACACTTCCGTTAACATAAATTGTTTTGGTGGGTACCGTGCTGCACCGTTTCTCGCTCTGGTTGATTCACTTCCTACTTTTGTGGCCTACAAAATATACGTTGGCTTCGGTCACCTCTAACTTCCATACTGTCCCGTATTTGACAAGTCGCTCATGTGTAATTGATTACCTAATAGTATCCTAGGTGCCAACAAACAATTGTGACTCTGGTCAAGAACACGCCATTATGAATTTTCATTCTATTGAGTTCGTTACAGTGACTTTTGTTTCATTACTCGCTATCGTATTGCTTTCTCATCTGCCGCATATACATATTCATTTCTCACGATGAATTGTTCGGTTGATGAACCATCTACGTACATAGTTAGTGCCGTAGAGCTAACCTCCCCGACTTTTTAGGAAAATGACCCGTCGTTATGGTTTATACCTTTAGAAAAATGTTGGAGGTTTGTGAGTAGGGTAAAGTTTGTAGAAAGTAGAAGTCACGATTAAAATTCACGCACAATACTATGCCTCGACGGGGAGTCGAACCCCGGTCCACGAATTTCCGGTCCGCTGCTCTACCACCTGAGCTACCGAGGGCTGACGATTAGGTGCGCAAATTTTAACACATGACTTCTGCTTGGTGCGCGACGTATTGCAAATGGGCTCACAGTACCTGTCCTGATGTTGCAGATTGGCTCACTCACACGTCACACTTTCCACAAACTTTACCCTATTCACAAACTTCCAACATTAATCTACCATCGTCCCTTGGACATTTGAAGGACAGGTACTTCGGTCCATTGGGAAGTGACGTGTGAGTGAGCCAATCTGCAACATCAACACAAGTACTGTGAGCCCATTGGCAATACGTCGCGTACCAAGCAGAAGTCATGTGTTAAAATTTGCGCACCTAATCGTCAGCCCTCGGTAGCTCAGGTGGTAGAGCAGCGGACCGGAAATTCGTGGACCGGGGTTCGACTCCCCGTCGAGGCATATTATTGTGCGTGAATTTTAATCGTGACTTCTACTTTCTACAAACCTTTAGAATACACCTTTTACAATTGTAGAATTTTCCTGATAATGCTAACTAGCGTCATCTTATATCTCGGTTTCCGCAGGTGAAAGAACATAGCTTGCCCTTCTCCCGATGCGAAATATGTGACTTTAAAGCAGGCGATCATCCAGCGAATCCCGCGCTTCGACAAGGTCCGACTGCAGCAACTATTTAGAGATCTGCAGCTAGGGAACAGGATCCCTTACATTGTTGCGACAGATACAACAGCTCCTAAGCACATCCAGCATGGACGCTGAGATTCTCCGCGAAACGTAGATGCAATGTCACAGGCCATCCACTCCGTGGCAAGCGCCCTGCCTCTCGCAGCAGTTGCAGAACTAGCAGACAGTGTCATCGAACGCATCGGCCAACGAAAGAATCTGGGATACTCACTCGACTTAGCACCGGTGCAGCCACAGCGACATCCGCCACTAGTAAGCCTTCAGCAATGGACGCTTTATCAACACAAATAGCGTCACTACAACACCAAGTCAATAAACTCTCCCCAGACCGTAAGCAGCGCAGCCGCTCTAGCATATCACCCCGTCGCACGAAACGTAACAATTCAAGCTTTTGCTTTTACCACTTGCAACCATGCACTTTCTCCGCTGCGAAGCAGGGAACCTTTCACGCCCGCAAGTAATTGCGAAAAACGGTGTCGGAAAGGCACGAAGTCCTCTCAGCTACATTAGCGATTATGACTCAAGAGCCCAGCTCGTACTTGATACCGGGACGGAAGTCAACACCATACCCTATTCCACATAAGCCAGCCGTTTCTTTGTCGATAAGCCAAAGTGCCGCCAATGGTAGGCCAATAGCCACCTACGGTCATCGGTCGCTTACCCTGGACGTAGGTCTTCGGAGCACTTTCCGTTGAGTATTTACCGTCGCTGCAGTACCCTCTGCCATCAACGACATTCACTTTCTCAGGCAATTCGGCCTTTTGGTCGAAGTGCAATGCCAGAGGATAGTTGACGCTGTAACGAAACTAAGTGTACGTGGCATCACCGCCGATATCGCATCTATAACACCGGTCTGCGCCTTCTCCAGACCTGGCCAGACTACGCCAACCTCTTCCAGTCCTCCAAACTAGTACAGGTAATGAACGTAGTTTTACCATTGACATTCCAAGTCACGCACTACATGCGGACGAATGGCCCACCAGTCTCATGCTGTCCATGCCGAGTATCGCCCGAGAAACTTAAGGTAGCTAGGGCGGAGTTTGAGCACTTGCCCGAACTTGAAATAATCCGCCCTTCCGACAGCCCTCCGTCCTCCTCTGCAATGGTTCCCAAGGAATCCGGTGATTGGGGCCCTTGCGGTGCTTACCGTGCACTCAATCGGCTAACCGTCTTGCATAGGTATCCCATCCCACACATGCAGGAACTTAAGGCATGCCTCACATGTAAGACGATCTTCAGCAAGATGGATATGGTTCGCGCCTACCACCAGCTACCTGTAGAAGAAAAGGACATTTCTAAAACAGCACGTATCACCTCTTTCGGCTTGTTTACATTTGCATGAATGAATTTTGGCTTTGCGAAACCGCACTAGCCTCCCAAAGCTTCATCCACGTTGTCACTCATGGCCTAGACTTCGCTTATTCTTCCCTCGAGGATAGTTTAGTATTCAGTTGAAAGGAAGAAGAGCATCTCGACCACAAGCAAGCTCTTTTCTAGCGCTTGACTAAACACGGTGTCACAGTCAACCCGACTGTGAACTCGGCAAATCGACGGTAGAATTCCTAGGCCACCGCTTTTCCTCGTCTGGCATCGAAGTCCTTTCTGATAAACTTCAGATAATCAAGTACCCCCAGCTCCGACTTCGCTCAGACACCTCCGTAGATTTTGTGTTTTGGTCAGCTCTTATCGATGCTTCATTCCGCGCTGCGCTCAGCCCATACAGCCTCTGGCTGACCCACTCAGAGAGAACTAACGTAAGTTCGCTTTCCCGGTCACAGTACAGACAGCTTACACCGAGCTCAAGAATGTAATCCCCAACAAAGCTCTCCTCGCTCATTCCGAAGCAACTGCACTTCTTTCTGATGCCTCCGACGTCACAGTTGCAGCCGTCCTCCAACAACACGTTGGTGAACAATGGCAACCCCTTGGGTGCTTCTCAAAAGCCTGCAGTCAGCGAAAACCTGCTACAG